AAAAAGGAAAACGGTTATGAGTTTTACAGAGTTTCCCAATATTGACATGTCAAGACACATGCCAAATTACAAATCGAAAACTTCAATATGGACAAGCAAGAAATGAGTCACAATGCACTCAATATTTGTACAACGGAAGTGCACATCATCGTCACTTAGTGGAAGAAAGTCAAAAGAGATGGTTATTATTGCCTTTAACCTTACACTGGCCATGACATGAATTTAACTTTGGGTTAAAAGTAAGAAATCGAATTTAAATACTTTTGACAATAGCAACAACAACAACAACATAGCCTTTTAGTCCCAAGCAAGTTGGGGTAGGCTAGAGATGAAACCCAAGAGAACCAATGGTAAGAGAAACACAAAAAGGGCTCAATAATCAATAAGGAGGGTATATAAAACTAACGGATGATGTATAAAATCATTATCTATATCTTCGAAAACCAATCTGAAAAGGCAAGCATCAGCAGATATTGTAAAAGTTCATCAGAAATGGAGAGCCTTGAAACTCTCATTTCGGAACAATCAGCCTAATGTTCACTATGTAAAATGCAAGTAGAGCTGTTAAACAAATGTACAACAATGAAATGACACTCCAACTAGTCCAATTTTCATCAACGCCTCGCACTTAAGACATAGTTACGCGTGAACAAACTTGGGTTGTGAAAGGTATTATTGCGATGAAGCCAAAGGTATACGTGAGAGTATACTTATGATCAAGAGTGTATTACAGCCAAAATGGGCAGCAATAGAAAATACAAACACAATTAGGACCAAGAATTTTGTGTGGAAATTATTATCTATGACTCGTTCAGTAAAAGATGAGATAGAAATTGGGATAAACTATAGAGGAACCAGTATAAAACACATGGATATGAAGCAAAGCAACACATGAAAATTTTGTATTGTTCAGTGTCCTGTTATTCTGTACTTCATTATTCAAAAGGGTGAATATTTACAGTAAAACTGATTGATTAATATATCAAATAAAGAACAAACTCAAAGAATACAAAATGAATTGCAAGGATCATTTGATCAATTAATTAGGAAAATGATACTCCATGAAAGAAAATCTCACTTGTAACACCACAGTGATAGCAAGGTCCATGCTTTCCCATGTCCTTAAATTTCTAATCCTTTCTTAATGTCAAAGGAAAGACACCCAACAGAAAATTCAACCAGAAGGAAAAATAAAAACAAAAGATGAACAAAACCAGTCTCCTTTAAAGGCTTTTCAAGAAAACAATTTGTCAGATAAGAATAGGGTTGATTGCTCTCTTAACAATTTAGCCTGTTTAAAATCTTCTTTGGAATAAACCCAGTAAAAGTTGTGCAGAAAAAAGGAAAGGGGAAAACAAAAACCAATAAATCAAAGCCAAATAAAAGTTTCTTCTTATTTTCCCAGAAATACAAAACCACTGAAAACTCCGAACTGTGTACAAGCAATGAAGGTAAGATTTGATGGGCTTTTGTATCTATATGATTTAATTCCAAACAAGAAAAAGGAAGAAGAAAAACCAGTGAAGGAATCTGAATAAATGGTTGAGAAGAGGTGAAAATAGGAAAAGGGAGAGGTTTTCTGTGTATGACTTTCTTCCTTGTATTGTATTGAGTGTTAAGTAATTGTTTCAGCTTTCTTATTACTATAGGATACTTTATTATATAAGTCTCTCTCTCTTATTTATTTATTTATTTGTTTTCTCTTTCATTATCTTTTCCCTTTTTCCTCTCTCTTTTTCTTTTATTTGTTGATTTAGGTAAATTTGATTGATTATCTAAATTGTTCGAATAAGATAATAAATGATCTTTAGGTAATTGAGTAATTTTATCTTTGTTTAACAATAATCTTCGCCCATGACATAAACTATTACTACCCCTCTCTCTTGTTGACCAGTGACTTTTCATATTATCCCACCACGTTTCTTCGAGCCCATCATCGACAAAGTCGAAGGAAAAAAAAAATAAAAAATAAAATAACAAGGTCAAGCTTATGATGCAAATATTATCGAAGATATTATGAGCACTATGGAAGCGTTCACTTCACCTAAATACAATAACTTTAATTATGTCACGTCACGAAAATTACAAACTAATATACATATATAAAGGTAGAGAAATTCATTTTAAAATTTTAAATACTTATTCAAAAAATTGCATTTATTAATTTTATTAACTCTTGTGTGTTATACAGATCTCGACTATAAACTAATAAAATCAGTAAATACTCTCATAACTTATAACTAGTACAGAGCCCGTGCGGGTGCACAATTTTAAGGCTATTTATCCAGGCTTATAATTATATACATGAATAAAGAAAAATGTACGGGATATATATAGTGCGTGCGAAGCACGAGACATATTTATTTGGAGAATATTATATTATAAGATGCAATATTCAATAAAAGTTTATAATACGCAAGAAATTGTACAATGTTCAATAAAAGTTTTATAATATTCAAGTGGAGTCTTAAAGTCTCTTGTACATTAAGACTACTGACAAAATAATATTTTAATCAATGAGTTTCCTTTCCTTGTAGCCAAATTGTGAATGTGATTTGAGGAGTACAACAAATCGATATATAGCTGACTTGCTTTTTTTATTGTAGTTTTTTTTTTCTTTTTTTTTATAATGAATTTAAAAATATTCTGAAATATAACAAAAATTAATTTTGTTATTACAATTAGGAATTTTACTAAATATAAACTCTCAATCTATAGTGTTAATCAACGTTTAAGTCTAAAAAGTTAGGAATTTTTACCTCTGTTAATTAACGTTTAAGTCTAAAAAACAATAGAGTTATTATAAGTTTTTTTTCTACATCTTTTAAAACATTAAATATGAACATGTTAGGGCTAGCTTGTAAAATAATTAATATATTATATCACTAAAACATTTATACTAATAAAAATTTAATTTTAGCATATAAATTTATCCCTTGATATAAGAGAAAGTAACAGTTTTACTTATTGTTGTTCACCATATAATATTTAATTATTATTTTACTATACAATAAAAAAGGAATATTGTTAAATAGTTTAGTAGAATTGTTATAAAATTATATGATTTTTTTTTTCACAATATGGATTTAATATTTTTTTTAAACAAATCTATACTTAACTTTGACAAATAAAACAAATAAATACTTTAGTAAGTATTTAATGTATATACTAAATAAGAATATATTTGGTATAATCAAATACCAAATATAATCAAATAAGTCAAAGTGTACATTTTTATTTGGTATTTGATTTTTTTATTAAAACCTTTTTATTATACTTATCTTTTTAAAATAAAACAAATAAATAAATTAATTAAATAAATAAAATATTATAATACCAAAATAGTAATGACATTTAATGCAGTTGACTTTTCTGGAGAGTAAATGTAGTAAATAGAATATCCTTTTATATAATATAATACGGAAATAGTAATGCAATAAATGCTGTTGACTTTTCTGGCTACTTAATTTGGTAAATAATACCTCCTTTAATATAAGTATAGATGACTTTTATGGTTCATCTATATATATATAATAGTTGATGCATTTAATAAAATATTTAATAAAACCTATCTTTATTTCCCTACAAAAGGAGTTATATTTTTTTTATTAATTACTCACTAATATGCTAAAACAGTTACACCTTAATATATATTATTATATATATCATTTAATAATAATAATAATAATAATAATAATAATAATATATTATTATTATTATTATTATTATTATTATTATTATTATTATTATTATTATTATTATATTAATCCACACTATCATATCATTTATTTCCCTCCAAAAAAAGTACATTTTAATAAAACCTATTTTTATTTTTTAATAAAATATTTAATAAAATCTATTTTCAATTAATAAAACTTATTTTAATTTTCCTTCAAAAGGAGTTACATTTTTTTTAATTAATTACTCACTAATATGCTAAAACTGTTACACCTTAATATATATATTTTTATTATTTATTTTTTGGATCAGTTACTAAATTAATTCTAAATTTGGTAGCAAAATATTTAGATGTGTCACGGCTAAGAGCATCTCCAATGCTCAATGTTGTAGTGGTAAATTACATTCCACATCAACACATTTATTAATATCACAACTTTTCACCCTCCAATGTACAATGTGATCACAAATGTTGTTGTGATGTTGACATAATTAATGTCTATAATGTAGAGAAGAATGTGGTTCATCCACATTCTCCTGCACACCCTAGCTAGCCAATGAAGAGAAGAGAGAATTATTATTACCGTCTTCAAATTATTTAATTAATTTTATTAATCCATATTAAATTTTAACATTTGGTAAGTAGATAATATTGTAATTAGACTACATTGTGCATTAGAGATGATTTTTTAATTTAATAGTTGTGAACTCAACATTTTTCCTACATGGTTCACATTCTATTTAATATTTTGACATTTGTCAAAATTTATCCTATAACAACATTAGAGCATCTCCAATGCTCTAATGTTGGAACTTAAAGTTGATTGGCACAATCAGAGCTGTAACCGCTATATTTGATTGCATTGTTGGAAGAAAAATATGATTCGCACATATTTTTTTTTCTAAAAATCAGAAACACCAATAATTTTTTTATTTTTATTAATTTTCTTAATATATGCCAAAATATATAAATTATTTTATTCATGTTAGTAATGTAAACTTTGCATAGTTAAAATAAAATTTAGATCTAAATTAATTTTGAATGATAAAAATAACTTAAATCTCATTTAATAAAAATATGTAACTTTCAGTTACACAATTTATATTGGCAAGTCCCATTTGGAATGTGCTCATTTCTGTAACGCCTTTTTATGTTTTAAAATACAAAATATTTTTATTTGTATTTTGATACTCTATATTTTTTAGTACTATAATATAAATACATATTTCACAACTAATTAAGAATGACTACAGATATCTCTATTTTCTATTACAGTCATACAGTAATAAATTTTTTTTTTCCAGATATTACAAGAGTATATCAAATATTTTGAAAAATCGAATCCCAGAATCACGAGTCGGAGAAGTTTAACGATAATGATTTGTTGTGATGAGGATTCCGATGATAGGAAAACCACGAATGTTGTATATAAAGAAGTGCTTAATAATATTTAGATTCACTTTATAAATTTTTTTTTCTCATTTATTAAGTTATGATTTTTATTTTATTCTATATTTTTATTTACTTTCTCTTCTATCATATCGTTTTTCGTACAAATGCACGGGGTATAACTTGTTATACATAAATACAGATCTCATGAGATGCGCGTGTAAACAAACAATATTAAATAAAATTTATAAATTAAAACCATGGAGTCATATTAAATACATCTTACCTACATTTAATTTGTGCAAAAATAAATAAAACACGTTTATTCAAAATATTAAAAGCACTTAAAATGTTATATACCATGTGTATAAAAATATTCTATAATTTTTTAAAAACGTAGTATGAAATCACCTAAACTTTTCTAAACTATTATTAAAAATATGTATACATATAAAGAAAATAAACATTTACAAAAAATATCGACGAAAAAAAATCCGCCAATAATTAATGAATACTATAATTAGTAAGATTTTAAATAATTTTTTTAAATAAAATCTAAAGCATTAATTAAATATATGTAGTAATCTCTGTTGCATTAGTTAAATTGATAAGTCATTGCATAAATCTAGGCATACATTTGTTAAACATTTTTTGTTAATTGTGTATTAGTTTTCTTCAAAAAAATTTTTTTTGAAATCTTTTGTATTCGAATCCTTTTTATGGTAGCAAAATTTTCACACGAAGTGAAGTTTACATATTTTCGGTATCATAATTCACATATCTTAGTATTTATTTTATATATGTGATATAGATCTTCTATCATAAAATTAACGAGAGTATAAATGAGTAGTTAGATAAAATAGTTGGTAATTAATGAATTAATATAAATCAAAAAAGTTTTATTTATAAATATAGCATAAATAATTAAGTATTTTTCTAAAAAATTATATATTTGTCACTATATTTTATTTTACAAAATAACATCGCATATGTTTTCCTAATTTTTAGGTTTCACTTTCATCAAATGGTAATTCAAAATTCGATTTGTGAGATCATGATGTTATTCGAGCATAAAAAGTCCGTCGAAGTATAAAAAAATAACATTTTTATTTATGTTAACAAAACTCTCTTTTTTATAAAAGAATATTGAAGAACATAATAATGTTATTCAAAAGAATTTGAATTAAATAATTAACTTTTTCTAATTTTTATTTTTCAATAATAAAATATTGTAGTGAATTGGATCAACCTATACAAGGGTGTAACTTCTTAAAATTACCATTTTTTATCCCAACAAAATCATTTCGTTATTTTATGAAACAAATGTAAATCGGAATAAGTTAATAAATTTTTATACTTCAGTGCAATCAGATATGATGTGATACAGTTTAAATTAAATATTTATTTATTTATTTTTTCTAATGTAGTATGTTGTAGTTAATTGACTTTCTAAAAAGTAGCACTTTTTTGAGCCAACAAAATTCTCGTTTTTTAACAAAAAATTAATGCAACTGAATTCGTTATTCTATTAAATAAATGTAAGTGTTAATTGAGCAATCCGTTGATAAAAAAAATATAATCCTACAATATACAATTTAA